GGGCCAAGGCAGAATTTCCAAGATACTTTGCCTTTTTGCTGAAAGGAGCTAGATAATTTACTTCCTTTTGCCTTTTAGAGTTCAAGGTCCCTGTATCAAAGAATTATATATTTCTGCATCTGTTGTCTTTTTACCATGTGGTAAGTAGTAGATATATTTCTTGTGGTGACAGCTGGAAATAACAATCTGTTAGACAAATCTTACAGAGTTACATCTGCTGGCCTATTGCTTAGTGTTTGAGGGGCTCTCTATAGGACAGAATAGACCATCAAGTAAGTTTTGCCACAAGGCCTTGTCACCTAATTTGTGTGCTTTTCCATGAGTTCAAGATACCTCCACTCTCATATATGATCAGGATGCTCACAATCACCATGTGATCATCCTCATAACCACTGATTCCCAGGCTTCAGTCTAGGGACTACTGCTTGGTAAAAATTGCATTTCCTCTGTCTACAGTAAGGTCTTGAAATCAGTACTTTTAAAAGGTCCTCCAGGGGCAAGCCCATGGCATAGTGGTTAAGGTCACGTGTTCCACTTCAGTGGCCCAGGGTTCGTGGGTTTGGATCCTGGGTGCAGGCCTACACACCACTCATCAAGCCATGCTCTGGCAATGTCCCACATACAAAATAGAGGAAGATTGGCACAGATGTTAGCACAGAGCCAATCTTCCTCACCAAAAAAAAGAAAAAAGAAAAAGTCCTCCAGATGATGAAACACAAACAGATTTGGCAACCACTGCTCTAAATTAAAATAATATATTTAGGATTCAGGTCTATCCTGTAGAAACATCCTTTGATGGAGTGGTATAATTTACTCCACATTCCAAATGCCACTTGTTCATTGTTCACTGGAGAGTATCTTTACATGAAAAATTTTAAATGAATTTAAAAATCCCTAATTAACTATAATAATGCTTTTATTATACTCAATAATATTTATTATCTTAGAATTCAATGTAATTTTTACATCATTATTTATCAATTACTAATGGGCCTGTTACTTGAAGGCCCACAGCACTAAAAATCTGGCTGTAATTATAGTTGGACTACTCTCAATCCTGGGCAGAGAAAGTTTTCCTAAAGATAGACAGCCACTGGTCTTCCCTGAAATAGGACTTCCCTAGAAACGTGAGTTAAAGGTGTAGCTCTAGTTGTAAATACCTCTGGTCTGTTGTTCATTCTTTCATTTTTTCATCCAACAAACACTTATCAAATACTATCTATATTTTAGGCACTGTATAGTCTACACTCTAAATATGAAAATAAGTAAGACATAGTCCTTGACCTTTAGGTGTTCACAGACTACCCAAGTGGCAGAGATACACGTAAATAATTAGTTACAACAGAGATATTTGCTATTGTTGGACGTTGAGAGGTGGAGTGGATCGAGCCCATAAGAGGACCCAGAGAGGAAGGGCATGGCAAACAAAGAGAATAGTGCAAATAGATCACATGAGACGCCCATCACTGCCCCCCTTGTGCACCAGCCGTGTCAGGAATATCTCACTTCTGAGCAGATCATCTGAGCTCATCTAAAACTTGTTATTCATCCCTCTTGCAAAACAAAAAACCTGCTTCTCTACATGTATTTTTAGATTGGTGACTATTACCCCCATTCATACCATCTTCCCAGCCAGAAACCTGGGAGGCTTCCTAGTCATCTTCTCCTTTACTCCCAACCATTAACCAGGAACTGTCAGTTTAATCTCTGTGTTATCTCCTCTGACCCTCCTCCCTAAATACTGCTCACATTGCTGCCTCAAACAAACCCTCAGACTTGGACATCTGCAGTAGTCTCCCAACTGGTTGATCTCCTCATCTTGAGACTTGCCTCTTTCCAGTCCAATATCCCCATATCGGTTTAAAACATAGGAGTGGCTCTACTTCCTATAGGAAAACGACTAAACTCCTTAATGTCGTGTACAGGTTAAGAGTGCTAATGCTTAAGCCAGACTGCTTGGATTCAAATTCTGACTCCACCACTTACTAGCTGTCTAGGGCAAGTACTTAGCCCCTTCAGTGCTTCAGTTTCCTCAACTGTAAAACAGGGGTAGAAATGGAATCTCTGTCATAGGATTCTTGTGAGGGTTAACTGAGTTAATAATGTACATATAAAGGGCTTAACAATGCCCAGCACAAAATAAACACACCATGGTGATGGTGGTCATGGTGGGATAACTAACATACGTTGGACGTGCCAGGTCACTAAAGATGACCTTGCCTTCCAGGGATTAACAGTCTGAAGGGGGAAGGAGTAACAGGTAAACAAATTATTTTATATGATCAGTGCCGTTATAAATTTGAGCACAATGCTAAATGATTAGGAAGTCAGAGAGAAAACTGTAAAATCTTGTTGTATAAAAATATTATACTAAAATTTTTATTTTCTGGACTACATGGTAGCTCAAGTTCCCAAATACAACTTAGTAACTCCCAAAACAGAAGTTCCTCATACATGAAATTTGCATGTTTATGATTTTGTTCCTGTATACCTTTACAGTGACTGCAAGCAATTTGGTTCTAGTATGTGTGTTTATTTGGGTCTATTCTCTTAGGAATAATTTGAAAAAAGAGAAACTGGGCATTGAAATTATAAAACAGAAAAGAAATGAACCACAGTAGAGTAGTAGAGAGTTTACTGTAAAGCCTTAGGAAAGAATAAAGACAGTGATAGAGATCAACTGTACCCAGTGGTTTCTGGAGGATGAGGGCTCCTGAGATCGGTTTAAGAGTTGCTGGTGAAGGTAGTAATGGGAAGACTGCAGGACGCTGGCAGAATACATATACATTCAGTGTGGCTTGTAAATATGTATTAGTTCAAAACAGGATTAAAGAAGAAACAGAGAGTTGGGGACATGCCTTTTGGTACAGGGGTCAGAGTGATATAGTGTTTGAATTTGGGCTCCACTTACTATGCTTAGGCCACTGACTAGTGCTGTGACGTTGGAATATTATTTAACTTTTCTAAGTCTCAATTCTCTTATCTAAAAGAGGGGGGTTATAATAGTACTAACCGAATAAGATAGTTAGGAGTAATTGAGAACGTGCCCTAAAGCGCTTTGCTGGTAATTTACAAATAGCAAGCGCTTTGTAATGTTAGTTCTTGCTGTTGGTGATGATTATTAATACATTGTTTTCTGCAGTCATGCAAAATGAATTTACCAATATCTCATTCAAACTTTGGGAGAAGGGTATAATAGAGTATTTGTTATTTCCTAGATGGCTGATAATATTTACTGTTGTTACTTTTATTTAGAATATGCTGCCTTTTGTTGTCCTATTCAACTGAATGTAAAATATTATTATAGAGTTTTGTAAGTATATTACTTATCTCTTTTCCCCCATCCTGTTTTTTCACATGGGGGTTTAAGTTCCTACAGAAGTTAGCCTACAACTGAAGAATACCACCTACAACTGAAAACTATAGAATTCCAAAACTCCTTGATTCCATTACCTAATTTAATAAATATAATAATGCTAACACACCAATTTTAATAGTGCTTCTGAAGTGCTTGTATATTTTAAGTATTCTTCCTATTGTCATGTATACCCTGTTTTCACCTTTTCTGGTATTAAATAATTTTATGGAACTAAGATAAACAGTTTGATTTAACATACTTTAATATAAGCAGAGTATTGTAAGTGATGTATTAGAGGACATCTCCTGTGGGATGCCTTCCCTCTCTAGCTCAGTTAAGTGACTCCCCTATCCCCATGCTCTCGTAAACCCTGTACATTCTCTCTCTCTCTATCCTTGTGACTTATTTGTACATTCAAACAAATTATAAGCACTTTAGCCTTGATAGTAAGGATCATGTCATGCAACAATGAGCAGGAAAGATCAGCATTCCGTAGGTACTCAGCTGATTTTTAAGAGAGCAAATGAATACTGTCCTCTTACATCACTTATCCAATTCTTAGGCCATGGCCAACACTGTACCAGGAACTGAATCAATGAATCAATTATTCAATTAAGAAGGCCTTTAGAAGTAAGATAAAGTAAGATAAAAATAAGAAATAAAATTTAACAGAATTAATAGTAACCTAATTCCAAAGACTGTTGTCTATAGAATGGCTGTCTTTCTGAAGAAGCTTCCCTGCCCTTCCTCAGATGCCAAATGCCTTACCCTAGTTGCCTGCTTACTAACTCCTCAATAGCCTATGTAAGGTAACAAGTCCAGCCTTTCACCCTGAGAGACTGAAGAGGGCTCCTGGCACAAATGGCTGTAGTTTGAGACCCTAAATTCAGAGCTGCGGACCTTACACACCTCAACTCTTAAAGATACTATAGGTGATGTTAGGAAAAGGAATAGTATAGACAAGAAAAAATGTTTACCGTGTGTCTCTAGTAATTGAGCATTCATCTCTTTGTTCACAAGAACTTGAATTATGATACATAATTGCATAAATAAGCAAATGGTAGTCATAAATCAACATCAAAAATTGCCACCTGGGCCACCCAGCACATGCTGTGTCAACCCAATATAAGAGCTATCTTCTTTGCACATGACAGATAATCAGAAACTGGAAAGAGTTTGCAAGTGTAACAAGAAGCAGTTTAAAAGACTGGTGTGGCATCATCTATGGCCTCAGCATATACCATTTACTTCCCATAGTGTGATGACTCTCAGCCATAGGTCACAGTTGGGCCTTAGAACCTTAATCCAGCATGTTGCAGCCTTCCCCTTCCAAGTACCCCCAGAATTGCTGCCATTGGCCAGTGTCCAAGAAGAAGGCTTGAACAGCTGCCCTGACAAATGGATTTCTCCCATTCAAGCCAACAAATGGGGAGTTCTTGCTGCTTTGCAATACTCCCTCTGGGTTGCAGAAGCTGTTTAAAATGATACTAAAGTATACTGCTCTCTGACACTATGTATTTTTCATTTTGGAGATATGTAAATATATTTAGGATCTTTTTAATGCAGAAGATGAGAAATCTTCCTTCTAAAGAGAATTGGTTTCAGCTTTTCTCTTTTTTCTTTTTCTTTTTGTCTCTCCCAGACAGTAAGGATTGTATCTTGGAGCCACTTTCTCTGCCAGAAAATCCAGGTGGCACCACCACTTTAGAAGGTTCTCCATCTGTGCCTTGTATTTTCTGTGAAGAGCATTTTCCTGTGGCTGAACAAGACAAACTTCTGAAGCACATGATTATTGAACATAAGATTGTCATAGCTGATGTCAAGTTGGTTGCTGATTTCCAAAGGTAAATTTTTTTTGTCCATAAAAGAATTCAATTCATTATTCTTAGAGGAAAGTCATAACTTATGTGTAAGATATTCCTATACAAATATGAAAATTCATATTCTTTCTCAGGTTTCTCCTTAGACTTTTTAAAAAATCTTTGCATTTACTTGCCTACTTGAGTGTGTAAGTTGTATCTGAGAATATCACATACTGTTGCATGTCCTACAAATTCTGGAAACAGACCAACTTTCCAAAGAGTAGATAGTATTCTCTTTGCCACATTCCCCGAGGTTGTTGACATTATTGATCCCTATTAGACTGATGTTCGTTTCATGTTTCAGGCCATAGGCATTTACCAACTGAGTAAGTCCTTCCAGAAAGTCCAGAATAGACGTGGTAAAATGCCACTCAAAGGGCAGTATTTGGGAACAGGAATCCTTAGAGCCTTTCAAGCCAAAAGGATATTGTCCAAAGAACTCTCAGCTTAAGTCATGTGATGAGGTTGAAAACCAGAAAGAAATTGAGTTGTTCAACAAACCACGGGGGTATAAGAGTAGACAGCTGTTGACATCAACGACTGAGGTACTGAGAGGAAGGTGAAAGTCAGATAGAGGTGAGTAGTTGAAGAACTGCCAACTTTGGGCATGTGTGAAATGTAGGAACTTGACCTCCACAGCCAGGAACCAAAGTGAGCTAGACTCCAACTTATGAGCACCCGACTTAGAATGATCTATACCAACAGACAAGTAACATGGTCAATTATTCCTTTTTTCCCCAATTCTTAATTCCCAGAAGTAACAGTCCAAGAGAAATGTCTTCTCTTAAGCAGCTGTAGTGGAATAGTTATGTTCATGTCATGATTAGTTGAAACTTGGAAAGTTTTCCATAGAAACGACATCATGGTAGTTACCAGCTTTATATAGTTACTGAAAACATACATTTTGCTATATCTGGTAAGGTACCATTTTGAGATATTCTGTGCTGATTTCTCTACAAAACATTAGAGTAGCCCAGATATTGTCATATCTCTGCATCTAAACTCTGTGTCTCCCAGACCACATTGCTAGCAAGCAGCTTCTTTCTTATGTTGAGTCTTGCAAAGCAGCAAGCTATATTGTTAAAGTGTGAACTATAAAACCAGGCAGGCCTAGGGTTGAATGCAGACTTGGGGACTTCCTAACCATGTGACTTTTAGCAAGCTACTTAACCACTGTAAGCATGAATTTCTTAGGGGTAAGATGAGGGTAACACCAGTCCTCATAAGAATGTCGAGTATTATATAAAACAAGGTATGTATAGCACCTGCTAGTGCCTGAGACATCTTTTATACCTAATTGGTAGCCAAAAATTTCATTATATTTTAATTACCAAAGATATGTTTGAAATCTTAGTTTTCTGCAAATATACCTTGAGTTTTCAATAAGCGTTTATGATGGTCTGAAAACCTAATTATCATTTGTAAAATTTGACTTTTGAGAAAATTTCATTCAGGATTCTAAATAGCCTAAACTTCTAGAATGACAGTTCGTTTTTAAGTTGGAATAGCCAGAATACCCACAGGGGTAATATTAGCTATTCTCTAACCCTTCATGTCCTTCTCAACTGCCTAGCACCAATACTAAATGTCTGCTGCATCCCTTCTGTGTTATGGCTACTTATATCCAGTCTGCATTGCTATTTTGGAGTAGACTTTGGTGCTGTCTGGTCAGGGAGAAGAAATAGAACAGAGTAGGGGAGGAGAGTTACATGAATTATATAGGCCACCAAGTGATAGAATAAACTAATTCTTACATACTTTTAGAGGACCACTCCATGCTTCCCATTCTCATTCATTGTTCTTCCTTTTCAATTAAAATATCTGTGTGTTTATGTATATATATATATATCTCACATATGTATATATGTCCCAGAGTACTCCCAGAACTTTCTCATATATGATACCTAGTTACACGTAGTCAGATCTGTTGATTTTGTTTTAGACATTTCTTAATCTAGAGATCTTGGGACTCTGTTCTTATTCAAATAACCAATGACACTACTATCGAATGAGTTAGTCTTTTATAAGTCTTGTATTACTCAGCACTTCTTGGATGTGAAACTATTCTTTTACTCTGTTTTGTCATATAAATGGAAATTCTCCCTCAGGAATTGTAGAAAATTATTACCTACCAGTGATAATTGAGCAATGTTAAGATTTTTCTTTCTCTTCTCCTAAAATCTGGGAGGAATGACTGAATGTTTGTGATTGTGTATGATATCTGAGTAGCTGTATTTGTACTAATCTATCTCTCTTTTTTTTATCATTGGTGTTAACCTCATCCATTTGCGGGGAGGAAAAATCAAATTACTTACTTGGTCTCAGAGTTTAGGAGTCAATAATTAAATGTTGGGATCAATCACCCTCTAAATGCAATTATGTAATAAAATGGATGCTTTAATTAAAAAGAAAAAGATATGTATCTAAATGCTTTCTAAATAAAATGTATAGTTAATGTATACTTTAAATTTGAAAACTTAGGTTTTCCTTGTCAACTATCCTCCTAATTATATAAAATTTTCACTCTCAGGAAGTAAAAATGTGATTAATTCAAATTTACCAGGACTGTATATGAGTAAACTCTGGTGCTTTTAAATACTTTTTAATATATTCAATCTCCTTTAGATAATGCCCTCCTACTATTTAGGGAATCTAAAAATTCCTCTCCAAAACACCAAGGATTGACTATTTGTGATCAGAGTTAAATTGGAATCTTCTCAACATTACCTGACTTTTTCATAACTTTAGAAAAGCCGTTATAAGGGCATGTGGGGGACAGTATGAGGTTCAATTGGCATGAATTAATTCACTCAGAACTTCTTTACAGATTGAATAATTCATATATATATGACTTCTCAGAGAGGAGTTACTTCCGAGTACAATAAGTAGTAAAGATGATAAATAAGAGATGGACTTACCTTGGGCTTTACAGGAAATAAGTTATAAGTTTTCGTGTTAAATATATTTGACATTTTCTTTATTGGAACAAAGTAACAGTAAAACTTTCTCAGGCAGAGGGGATAAAACAAAAACAAAATAAAAATCTTTCCTTTGAACCATTTAACATAGTTATTTATACTGAGCTATTTGCCAGCTTTATTCAGTAAATAAAGTTTCTCCAGATGCTAAATGTTAACTCCTTCATTCTTGCCCCTTTCTATATTAAATCCACTCATTCAATGCTACTTAACTAAGAGCCCTATCTCAAATCTTTATGCTTCTGTCAATAAGCACACCAGTTACAATGTAGGCAAGATATTACTACAAAGATTTTTTTGTGAGGCAATTTTGGGAGACATGATTAAAGTTCTTTTAAAAGAAAAAAGTATTTGCTGATGACTTAATAATTACTTTTATGACCTTTTTAGTAAAGTATGAAATGCTTTGATAACTGTCATTCAAATAAAGGGTTCATACTACATGTTATTTCTTGGCTGCCTTTATATATTGAGTGGCTGCAATTGTAGCTTTAAATAAACTGAAGAAGTAGGGAAAAATGAAGAAGAGAAATACTAAGTAATCCCTTATAATTGAAAAATATGTTTTAGTGGATGGGGAAAAATGCCACAAGAAGCATGTTTTGAAGATCTGCTATCTTTAAGCCATCTTTCAATTGAATACAATTTATCTGAATGCTTCTACCAACCGCAGGGAAATGTATATACTGTACTGACACTTCTTAACTCTAATTATAAACTAAAGTACTGTTACATGTCTAATTAGGTTGCATCTTAAATTTTGACTAAGGTCAAGTGTATGTTGCATTTCAGATCTGTTTATATAGTATACTACAATAAGATATACATAATTTTATGTGTGTAAATTGTATGGTACTTTATGGTTATGTTTTGTTTTTGTAACATGATTTTTTCTTTGATGTTGTTGTCACCCACCCTTCCGTCAGGAAGAGAACACGCAAATGACAATTTTGTGCCTTTGGGGCTCAATACCTGCTTTGTCCTCCTTCCCTTAGAAGCTACCAAACAACATCTCAGAATTGTTCCTAGAGATGGTATCTGAAAAACATCATTTCCAAAATTCATGACTACTTATTCATGGAACAATAAAATAACGTTTAACCAACGTAAAGACTGCCAGACTATGAGCATATAGCAGTATTCTCTCCCCCTTTATCCCCTGGGAAGCCCTCCCTAACTATTTGAAGAGGGCAATCAAGGTTCTGCCAGCCAGAATCTCCCCGTGATTTTCAGTCATTTGGTGTTAGTAATTGCTACCCTTGTGCCTACGACCTTGAAGTAGACTCTGATACAAAATAAGTACGTGATGAGAACCTTCTCTTCGAAGATCAAGGAGACAGTACTCAAATATGGAAGTTCTTGCAGACTAAGACCCATTGACTGTTAGAACCAGGACGTTGTTACCTCTGTAGGGGCATGTCTTAGCACCTCTTGCCTAGCCAAGCAGTTCCAAACCAACAGCCCCAAACAGCTGGTGTCAGCTTTCAGTACTTAGGCAGGAAGTTAGAGCGATTCAGATAAAGAGCTACTATTAGGTAGTATGCGTTTCAGAAGTTTCTTCAAACTCCATTTCTGTAGTTCAGTTTTGCTTTGTCAAAGAGCAAAACCTGGGGCAAGCCCGGTGGCATAGCAGTTAAGTTCGTGCCTTCTGTTTTGGCAGCCTAGGGTTCACTGGTTTGGATCCCACGTGCGGACCTATGCACCGCTTATCACGCCATGCTGTGGCAGGCGTCCCACATATAAAATAGAGGAAGACAGGCACAGATGTTAGCTCAGGGCCAATCTTCCTCAGCAAAAAGAGGAGGATTGGCAGCAGTTGTTAGCTCAGGGCTAATCTTCCTCAAAAAAAAAAAAAAAGCAAAACCTTCTCCTTTGTCTTTAAGGGAAAAAAACATGCTTCAAGTATCCATTACAACTATAATTCTAGGGGCTTTTTTCTGTCCCTGTCTTCCCTTTTCTGCAATTCTTGTATAGACCGCTTCTCACTTGACACTAGAGGCCCTGTGTTGTAGAAGATCTGAGTTTCAGTTTGGAGCTGGAGAGACCAAGTTCACATCCCAATTCTGACATTCTAGTTGTGTGACCTTGGGAAGGTAAGGTCTCCGTAATGATAGCTGCTAATAATTGTCATCCTTATCGTCATCATCATCATCATCACTCTACTCTACCACCACCATAGCCACCTATATGTGCCCTCTGATACTACTAATAGAACTGTTTTGACTTGTTCATGAAATGTTTGTTGACATTATTGTTTTTGTTGTTTAAGCACCAGTATTTCTCTAAAATAAACAAATTCTTTACTACTTTAATCTCATCCAAATGTTACTTTTTCTTATAATAATAACTACCATGTATTAAACACCCAGGATGTTAAACACTGCTTTACATGTATTATCCTACTTAATTATCAATAATTTATTTTGCAAATGAGTAATGTGAATTTCAGAAAACTTAAAAAACTTTAAATTCAGGTTCATATCTCTGAATGCAAAGTCCCTGCTCCTCTGTTCACTATTACCTGGGGGCTGGTGGAGTCACTTAGTAAATCGTCAGCTGTGAGAGTTTAACCGCAGTCTTAATTTAAAAAGCAACACTTCTTCTAGCACAAGATCTGTCAGACAAGAAACTCATTGTATTGACTTTTCTAACCCAAAAATAAGTCAATGGCAGTCCAAGGGACAGTCTGGTCACTAGTACAGCTCTTACCCTAGTCATCTACTTCATGGAGTTTCAAAGAGATACTGTTCTAAGTCTGTGAACATCTTCCTAAGGTAAGCAGCCTGTATATTCAAGGAGTTGTCACTGCCTTTTAACAAACCTAGACCCAGAATGGAGCTCATCAAGGGCTGACCACTATTCTCAGTTTTGTCCAGAGGATATCACCTAGCTGGTCTTCAGTGGAGTGGTAATCAGGAGTGACGAACCTCTCCTTGGCACATTCTACTGGTAGCCATGAGGGAACTCCAGATAGAACTTGGCTGTCCTGTTTTTTTAAATAAGTTATCTCAGCATCCGGTTCTGCTGTATGAATTTGATTAGTCATGAAAATAGATGCCTCTCTATTTCAATTTGGAAGAACAATCCGTCTTCTATTCCTGACGTCTCCCATAGAAGTTCTCCTGTGTTCCTTCATTCCTGTCACCACTTTGCAACAGAAAATATGCTGAAGGGAGAATAAGAAACGTGGCTGGAAATGTCATTTTTATTCTCTTAAGTCTTCTCTTGCCTTTTCTTTCTCCCTTTTTCCTCTCTCTCCCAAGGGGAAGTAAAGCAACTCATGAGGAATGAAGAGGAGAGTAAGAGTAGTTATGTAAGGTCCTAAGAACTGGAGGGTGCCGAAGCTGGCCCAGGGTGGCTGAGGAAATATGTTTCAGCCTTTTGTAGATACTTTTCCTCTTTTTGTGTATTTCGATGGATCTAATGTGCACTTGCTTTCTTCTGATACTTCTAATATGGAAGCCAGGGAGCTAACCATAGAGTCATAGTGCATCATTTATAGTATTTATAGTTGGAGGCTGAGCTGGAGCCTAAGATATGTCATTTTCAGATCTCTTAAGGTAAGGTCTAGCCCTATTCTGTAAGGAAAGTTCTCCCCTTTCTTACCCATCCAGGTTGACAGTATTGACAGTACGGTTATACATGAGAAGAAAAAATTAAAACGTGGTTCTATGTTTATACATTATTCCTTTACTTCTTTTCTTTATATATTCTGTACTCACTGTTGTCATCCATTTATATTTTTGTTTTATATTAGCTCATGTCGTGGTTCTCTCTTTCTCTCAGACTTCCCTCCCAGCACATATTTTTTTCTAATACATGAATGCCGTTTCTATAGAGCACCATGGGATTGGGAAATTACTGTTAAGAAAAAGAGAGGTAAGAATAAAAAGTTAAAAGGAGACAAAATATTGGGAGTTAGAGGTTACTTAGAAAACCTTACAGGAATCTTTCTACCTCTTTAAAATATTTATTGTGGACCTACTATGTGCAGGGCACTGCTAGATGCTATATCAAGCCATTTAAAATATCCAAATTCCTACTCTTTCTGTACACTTCATTTATTTCACTGAGTCCCATCTCTTTTACAGGTTTTGGTTCTTTGTTCGAAGTGTCTCGTTTTATCCATCAACTCTGTAGCCTGAGAAATTGTCAGCTATAGAGTCAACCTTTCCATTTCCTTTCTCCCCATGAAAGAGAACACATTTTCTTCTTGGTACCATTTGATAAATGAGATTGTGGTTGCCAATATAAATCGTGTTAGATAAACGGAAAGATGAACAGCTTGTTGAATCCTGTCATCTTACTGCCTCTTTCATCCGATATGCAGGTCTGGGTGTTAGGCTTGCTTTCAAATTTAGTCAGTGTGCTGCTTCTAACTCTGCTCATTAGATACGAGAATTGTAAGCTTAAGTATTTTTCCAAAGGCTAAATTTGCCTCATTGCAGGCACAGTGTGGATGTATGGAATTTTTCTGTCTTGTTATACAGATATTGAATTTAAACTGACTTCTCATTGGGTTATTATTATGACCTCTGTTCTTTTGATGTATAAGATAACCACCCAATTTTCAGTTTATCGGAAAACGTGTGATAAAGCCTATTTAATCATTGTTCCATTTTAAATTCGCATAAACTTAGATGTGATTTCAGAAAAACTTAATTATTACTAAAAATAATTCAGTTTAACTCTCCTGTATGTCTGTTTATTGAATTTGGGGATAGTAAAGTTTAATCGTTTCCACGCCTTTACAGGATGATTTCATTTCATTAAATATTTATTTCATATTTCTACAATGCCCTGCCACCTTTCTGTGTACAAATTTTCTGGCAGTTTTCAGTCACAACATTTGATTTGTTGCTTTGGGATAATTAAATGTCCTTATAAAATCTTGTCATTCTAAAGTAAATAGTGCATTGAGTTTTCTCATCATGCTTTCTTTCTGATTGTTCTAAGGTACATTTTATATTGGAGGAAAAGGTTCACTGAGCAGCCTGTTACAGATTTTTGTAGTGTGATAAGAATCAACTCCACAGCTCCATTTGGTAAGTGTACTTCTTGGCTACCATCTTTTCCCTACAATTCAAAAATTCAAAGGAATAATCTTACTTTCTTAAATTAGATTTCTCTCACTTTCATGATAGCTAAAATTAAACTGCTGTGTTTATGTTGCGTAATTTCAATAAAGCTGAAACAGAACTATATACCAGAAGAGAGATCCTCATAGACATATGCATATACATATATATATATGTTTTTTAAGAATAAATCCTTCTGGAAAAGATGATAAATATTGTTTCTCGTTTACTTTCCTAATCTTTCAACAGAAGAACAAGACAATTACTTTTTGTTATGTGATGTTTTACCGGAAGATAGAGTACTTCGAGAAGAACTTCAGAAACAGAGACTGGTAAGAATTGTTTTAAAGGATGAACAGTGTGTTGGAAATACATACAAAATCAGTTTTGTTGCTGGTGTTCTTTTTTTGTTTTGCTTTTACTTTTTATTCTGGAAACTTTCAAACATACACAAAGGAAGAGACCAACCATACATAAAGATCTTAAAACAGAAAAAAGTATACACTTGATTGAAGATTAAAGCATTTCATGTTAAAAATGCAGAGAGAATTTTTGGCTTTGTTTTGCTTCCTGGATTATCTCTAAAATAACAACAGAGCTTACACATTTTAGTGTAATTTTAGCTGCCTGACACATGCTAGGGTTCAGCAGTCGTGGAAAAATGCTCTCAGCTAAAATTGAGTTGAATTGATTAACTTTTCTTTTTTTTCTCCTTTTCACTGGAATGTGCTATGCACTAGCACTTCTTTTATTCCACTTTATGAGTTAAGCATATGGTTTGATCAACATAGTAGCCTTTCTCATTTGCAATCTTAGCCATAAGCAAGCTAATTTGAAAACTTCAGCATCTTTAGTCTTTAAAAAAAGATAACAGCATTATACAAGTGTGAAAATTTTCATTTTCATAACTTGAATAGAAATTGGTTAATTTTTAGTTATTAATTTTGTTTAAAAGTATGTAGTTTTCCATTATTTCTGAATTTATCTCAACTATTACTTGAAATTTATGTGCTCTTCCTTTATTGGCTACTTATAAGGGTTCCTTGTATCTTTGGATTTTGCTAAATATGTTGTGAGAGAAAGCTATGAATTCATTGTTTCTGCTAAATCCTCAAGAGATCTGAGAGGAAAATAAATGCTACCTACCATAGTCACTCATATGATTTGAGAAAGTCCCCTGAAGCACATTATATTTTGTAAACATCCCAAATGATTATTTCTCCCATAAGGAGAGATTATATTGTTGGATGTTGATTTATATGTAAGAAAAATCATGCTTTTCCTGTAGCAGCAAACCCAATGAAGAAACGGGACTTCGTGAGTTTCTTTTCTTTCCTTATTGTAATGTCTTAAGAAATGTACAAATGAGGATGAATTTACTGTCATATTTTATGGATTTTGTTTGCTTGTACTTGTTCATAATTTTTAATTTCCATGAGTTTTTTCAGTCTTGCTCAGAGTGGTCTTAAGAATGATCTAACTGTTGTAACCTAATACACCTAAGGATTTTTTTATGAGAACTCAAACCCTCCTGCTTCAGCCATTGCTATTGCTCAGTACACAGAATCTTTACTGTATGTCTGCAGATAGACTCAACTCCCTAACAATGTCTACATCTACAAAATTTAGATGACCTTTTAAGATTCTAACACCAATTCTAACATGTCGTTTTTTTCCCCACCCCACCAAGCAATTCTCCAATACCAGCTGAGTGTCCTACAGTGCAGCTCATTCTAACACCATCTACCTGCACATAGCATCAGATCCCACAGGTTAAGGGCCCAGTCCCACAGGATTGCCCTCCATTTCAGATTCTAGTCACACCAGGTTACCTCTCTTTTGACCAACCAGCTATAAATCAGAGGTTCCCATGACCTCTCCTTGGGTTTGATTAATTTGCTAGAGCAGCTCACAGAACTCAGGAAACCAGTTTACTCACTAGATTACCAGTTTATTACAAAAGATATTAAAGAATATGAATCAACAGCCAGATAAAGAGATACATAGGGCAAGGTCTTGAACAAAGGAGCTTCTGTCCTTGTGGAGTTTGGGGACTGGCAAGACAGCATGTGAATGCATTCTGATTCATCAACCTGGAAGCTCTCCAAAACGTATCCTTTTGAGTTTTTATGGAGGCTTCATTACTTAGGCATGATTGATTAAATCATTGACCACTGGTGATAGAGCTCAATCTCCATCCCCTCTTCCCTCAAGGAGTTCTGGGGAGGGGAGCTGAAAGTTCTAACCCTCTAATCAAATGGTACGATCCAGCCCTCATCCTTAGGTTACCTTAGGTGCTTTCCAAAAGTCACCCGTTAACATAACAAAAAACACCTTTATAGCTCTCAACACTTAGGAAATTCCAAGGGTTTTAGGAGCTATGTACCAGAAATGGAGACTAACACCAAATATATATTTCTTATTATAAATCACAGCATCACACCTTTTTACCACCTTTATAGTTTAACCAAGTGATAGATTTGATGAAAGTGAGCATTTTGGCAGCTTAAAAGAAACAAAATAAGATGAAATTACAGTCAATTTGTACATATTTGTTGAATTGCTGCTTAACTAGATGATCATACACAGAAATACAAGGCATGGTTCATGTCATAAAAGAGTGTACAGTCTAGAGAAAAAAGACAAAATATGTTTTCTTATCACGGTAATGCAGATAATGATAGACCATCTTATAGGGCTAGTGAAGAGTAAGTGAGATAATGCATGTGATTTGCTTAGAACAGTATCTGCCACATACCACTCAATAAATGTTGCCAATAATACAAATAAAAATTATAATACTATATGTCTTAACAATGAGAAGGATATGGGTAGTTGGAGAGTTGTTGAAAAGGGAGGAAAAATGCATAGGGATCTAAATGTTCAAGATGTATTCAGGAAAGTTGAGTAAGTCTAGTCTGGCTGAGGTAGAAAGATTTTTGGAGGAGGAATATGAGAGAGATTTGAAGAGGTAAGATGGAGCTAAATTGTGAAAATCCTTCAGTGCCAGGAACATTGACTTTGTAGTCATAAAGACCCATTGATGTCTCCTCATTGCCCATGAGAGTGAAATGAAGAAAAGATGATAACTGTAGCTGTGTAAAAATCCATTTAAAGGTGATAAATCCTAGCAAAGAGCAGACCAACTTGGAGATGTGGGAAGAAACTAACAATGACTGAATACCAGCCATATGCCATGCCTTGCATTAGGTCCTTGCTTCATAGCAACTCTGTGAGTTAGCTCTTAAATACCATTCTGTTGATAAGGAAACTGTGGCATAAAAAGATTAATTTGCCCAGGATCCCATAGTGAATGAGAAGCAGAGCTAGGGCTGTAAACCAAATGTGCCTGATACATGCCTTTTTAAGCCGTGCCATGCCAGTCTAGTAGTTATTTATTCAACTTCCCACATGTATTGTACTCTTAGTCTAGGCTCTGGGAATTGCTGTGTCCTGGGTGCTCATGGTCTGACAGATCTGTGGAGTGGGTAGATTCAGGCTAAGCTTGGAATTTAGGGAAAGCAGAGGGGGTTTACAATAGGCTGCCACTGGGAATCATGGCTAGAGGATCAGCAAAAAGAAAAGATTCCCAAATGCAGAAAGACAGATTGAATTTGCAGTCAGCCAGTTCATGACAATTTTATACTCTATAGTGTGGAAGCATGAGGTTGGTGTGGGTGATCTTCCTTTGGGAGTTAGCAATGTTGACAGGTAATGAGCTCTGCAAATCAGTAACAGGCATTTCCAGAAAGAAGTCCAAATGATCAAATGAAACAACTTTCAATAAGTGTAATAATACAATGTTTTCTTCTATCAAGTTAACAGGATTTGAAAATAATACTACTAAACGATGACAAGAATGTCAAAAGACAGGCACTTTTTCAGCCGCTTTTAAGTGTGAGAATTGGTATACTATTCCTGAAGGGCGCTTTGTCCTTGATCCATATTCTCAAAGAACTCATCTAGGAGAATCATACACCCAAAGGGTTATGAAGTCACCTGCGCTACGACAGCTTAGTTGTTTTTTCCTTATTTGCCATCAGTGTTTTATCAAACAATTCCTCTTCATTAATCACAGTTTCAATCTAGCTTCTGGAAAATGTAATTTAAACCAGTTAAATTGCTTTATGTTATTGGGTATACAATGCAGTCTATGTTTGAGTGAATTTAGCTAAATGTCAGTAGGATCACAACTCAAGTCCATAAGGGAAGCCCTTCAAACTAGAGTACTAGTGTAGCATTTACTCTCCTGATTTATGTTAATGATGACTTGCGTATATATCATTCTTTAATATTCTCTCATTTTGAACTCTAAATAAAGTATTTAGGTTAAATACTTTTGTATGACTTATTCTTAGTTCACAATGAATTTATAACTTCTTTGAGGGCAGTAATTCTTATATTTAAACATCCTTCAGTAGCATTCAATATACTGCTAAGTTCATGTTGGTGTTTTCCCCAAACTCTGTTTTTTTAGAAATATTCCTATTTCTGTGTGAGTGACTCGAGGCATATAGAGTCTAAATGATCCACTTAAGGTTACCATAGCAGATTTAAGGCTAGAACCATATTTCTTTTTTACTTTTCTGCTACCTCACTGGTTCCTTGTGACATTTGTGACATTTGTGTGTGTTCCTTAGTGTTCTTTTGAAGAGCTTGATTCCTGCTTGGCACTTCTTTGAATTTTTTCATCTGTACTCTGAAGGAGTCCACAGAATTAGGAAAGATTCTTGAGGGTTTGAATAGCTTGTACACCTTCCTCTCTTTAGCTTCCTTCTTTAAAAATTTTCCCTGGTCTCTTCATTCTACCTTAATCTCCAGTGGGTTTTTTTCCCTCTTTTCTCTTAAATGAGTAGATGTAAGTTTCCCAAGGTCTTGTCCCCCATTGAGAGTATGCACTCTCATGCTACCACTGCTGTGCTGGTGGCATAAATTTTGGTGCTGACACTGAGTGGGCAGAGAGTGGGCAGTGGGTAAATATCCGTTGATTGAGTTCATCTGCAGCTTTCATCCTGGCTCACCTCTGAACCCCAATTTTAACTTTCCTTATTTGAACTTTTCCATGTAGATTTCCAATCAGCATCTTAAGTTTAATATACCTAAAACTGAATTTATTATTTTTTCTACCAAAATTTGCAATTTGCCAGTTTTCCCTTTCTTACATAGTGGTACCATCATTCTCCTGGTCACTGAGTTTGGAAATTTCTAGAGTCATCTTTAACTCATTCCTTTTCGTCATCACCATACCTAAATCACTTGTCACGTCCTGTCACTTCCACCTCTGAGTTCCATATCCATATCCTTCTTTGCAGTCCTAGTGCCTTTTATCTTA